GTTCTGTGCAAGATTTTCTACAGTCAATAAATCTGCATACTTCATTTAAAAATTTTGAAAATTCAATTTTTTATCGAAATCAAAAATTTTAATGATGTAACCCCTTATAAAATTTTGCAAAAATGGCCAAAAAATCGATTTCATCCGGACATGTCTAGTAAGATTCGCATGTTGATGCTGATCAAGAATATATGTACGTCTCCTTCACTGCGTTGCAAACTTCTGACTGAAATTATAATACCCTGCAAGGCTATCATAAATAAGTAAATATCTAATAGATATTTTGTATCCATTGAAAACGATTTTAAGGAAATAACAAGAAAGGAAAGACATAAAATAAATACCTTTAAAAACTGCTAAATTATTGTTATAAATATTGTGAAAAATATTTCTCTCTATCCAATAACCTAAATTGACCCATTAAATTCTACCCCACCATAAAAAATCTTCCTTTTCCGCAAACATCTCTATAAAATCCACTTATAAATTCACCTCTAATTGTCTCAACTTTCCTACCCTATGATTATCCCTTCGACTTTTAATTAAAAGCCCTGTGTAAATGCTAGTTCCACAACCTTTCAACAACTTCCTCGCCAAAAGCACACTCGATGTTATTGTTATTGTTCTTCCCAAAGCTCAATTGCCATTTAATTACTTCATTTAACATCGACAACAGCACTCCCATTGAGGATTGCACATGTTGAATGCAATAACTGGCCAAGCATTTAGACGCCAATAATTATTCGATATTCATAATGCAGTTGGACAACAACAAGTTTGCCAGACACTAAAAGCTTAGAGTAGGGGGTTAAGGGAAGGGGTTAGGGAAGGGGTGTAGAAAAGGGGGGTTTGAAAGGGGGATTTGCTGAAGGGTTTGCTATTGTCAAGAGGGGAGACACCCCCACAGCACTCATTGCATTGACATTGAATTGCATCTGTTCGAATCCCCCTTAGGAAAGTGCCAACAGACGTTAAGATGTGATTGCTTCTACACCATTTATCGTTCGAGAGGGGGGTTATAGCCCCCCTTATCGGAAGTGCTATGGCTCAAGTTGTTGTTTTTTTGCTGTGGCTCTTAGCGCTTTGGGTCTTTCTTAGATGACAATTCGAAAGATGATGATGTTAATGAGGCTGATGGGTCTTAAATTGAATGAAAATGGAATTGTTTTTGTGATTTGAGTTTCCAAGAGGCTGAAGAAGGAAGGAAATTGCTTTAAAAAGGGATTTGTCAAGCTATAAATTTAAATGGTTTATTTTAGAAACTAACTAACTATCTTTAACTTATAGTTCTTTAATCCCCTCTTAAATCACTTTAAATATAACTCTCAACACCTTGACTCATACCTATCTAGGCCCCATTCTCCCTCGACACTTGCCAAACGGGTTTTAGCACCGTTCCCAGCCATTAACCCGTTGATGTAATCTATCCAAGGTGCCACATATTATTCAAATCAATTGCACTCTTGCATAAATCTCCAACCAACCAACCAACCAGTCCCCCTGGCAATTCATCAACTCCAGCTGAGGGTTGTCATTATGTCAAGTTCGTGGGGCAATCCACTAAACTACATTAGGCATCAGACTACCCAAAGCATGATACTACCATTTTATCACAACTTAGTAGTTGGTGGCTCATAAAAATGGCAATCACATTTGCATTGCCTGCTCTCGGACATCATACTGCGCATTTTCAATTTCAATTTCGCCTCGATCGTTGCCCGATACTATATAAACTTTTTGATATAAGTAGTATTGGTATTTGTTTGTTGAAAAAGGGCTAAGCTTAATCCAACAGATTGAATAGATAACACGCAATTTCCCTCGGAAATCTGTGTACCAATGACAGGGCCTAACTATTTATAAGTCTTCGGTATGGGGTCTTCAAGTGGTGTGCTTAGATTTCCAGAACTCCTTGAGTCTGCTTTTGGAATTCAATTGGAACTGTTTTTCCTTTCGAGTGGCGGAACTACCCGGGGTGGAAAGTTCAAAAAGATATGGTTGTGGTTATGGTTAGATGGAGTTTGTAGGGTTACTGAAGGGTTGGGGTTTTTAATTAGGATTTTAAAGGTGACTAAGATGTTGAGAGGGGAGAATAAAGGTTCATTTTGTGGAGGAATGTGATATTTATAATGGTTTTTCTTGGGCTTAAGTTTAAGATAGTCTTTATCTATCATAAATCTCTTCAATCTTAACTATCCACCCATTTATGTAACCATTTATCCTGTTACCTTAATGATTGATTAACCTAAAAGCCGCTTAAAAGGCACCTTAAACCCCAGCAAATGGCTTCTACAACTTCCTTCCTGAGGTGGTCTAAACTGGTTTAGGAGTATATCTTTCACTGTCACACCCATCACACAACCAAGTTAATTAAAAGCTTTCAGCGCGGTCTTTTGACATTCGCCGCTAATGTCGCGCCTCTCAAATGCTGCTCCCGTTGATAGTCTTTGCCGAGGTTGTCCTTGTGCGTGGACTCGACTTTTTCCACAATTAATTCAGGCAACACGGTTCTTGGACAATTAAGAAATTCCTGCCGGCTGCTCAATAATTTTTATCACATACATTTTTTATCGCAAATATCACAACTTCATCAGCAATCAATGCGGTCGCAGCAGCAGCAGAGACTGCAACACGGGGCGGGCAGGCAGACAATTAGCCATAAAATTAGCTGCAAGTTGGCTCAAGGAATGCGCCATGTCGATGGCCAAGGCGCTCGGCGGTGGCAAATTGAAAACAATTTTAGATATTTGCATATAAATGCAACCTGAGACGCTGAGACGGTGGCAATAGCAACTTCAGCAGCAGCTGCCATGTTGACCACCTCTCGAATGTTGCCAGTAAATGTTGCTGGAACACAGTGGTAAACACACAAAAATAAAGTTAAATTCTTTATTAATAATCTTTTATTACTTTAGATCTTAAATAACCTCTAAGATAAGTGCTTATCTTACAAGTTCATTAAAGAAAATGCTGTAAAGCGGCTTATGATTAATTAAGTATTTAAGGAAAAATGTAGCGATAATTCTTTAGAAAATGAATACACATCTAATATTAATTTTAAAATATTTTAATGACATTCTAAAAACATATACACAACTTCCTGCCCACTTACCCCACGGTGCAAGGCCATAAAGTTTATTGGAATTGCATTTGCCATATAGTTATAAAGAAATGGAATATAAAAAGGTGGTGTGGTCAGTACTAAAGATAAAGTTAGCCCGGCTGTCCGATAGGCAAAGGGGTTTATCAGCCCAAGAATATCAATATTTATATAGTCCGAACCGACTTGGCAACACTTTTAAGGTAGCACACTAGCCGCCTCAAAAGATTGCCACACGTGGTCTCGTCCCTCGATTTATTGACATGAGCATATTAGAAAAAAAATAAATAAAAATAAAACACTTCGTTTTGAATGCTGTTGAGAAATATTTCCAACAAAAGTTCAAACTACATTTCACGCCTAATTTCATCTGACAACAACAGCAGCCAAGTTGGGGGAATATTTTTACACATTTTCTGCGCTCTCTGCGGTGGCTGGGCTGCTGTGTTAATTTGAGACATAATTGCAAGCTGGCCAGGATGAAAGAGGGGTTAAAGAGAGGGAGTACCAACATCCAGAGGCGTAGCGGCAAAAGGGGGACAGCTGCGCCGACTGGTTATGACAGCAATGACAGCTGCGGCAGCGTCGGCATTTGAATAATTTGCAATTAAATGCTCCACGCGGCTCAGCAATTAAGCGAGGAGTCACGGGAATGGGGCAGGGGATAGAGCGGAAACACTGAAAGAAAATTCAAGTGAGAAGTAAAACTAATAAAGAAGAAAGAGGAAAGGTAAACAGACTTAAGAGGGCTTTAAAGGGATCTAAGATAATTATTTTCCCTTTTTAGTTAGAAAAGTTTGTCTAATTTTTTATTTATATTTTTTACTGTTGTTATTTTATTTAATTACTTATAATTTTCCCCAGTGTCCTCGGGGGAGTGAGAAAAAATGGCAAACATTTCCCCCCGTGGCCACAAGCGCCACACGACGTATACGTAATATTTGAATCTGTTTTTGTGGCTAACTTTTGAACGGGTTTATCTGGTAGAATGGTAGTCCAGGCAGAACAGGAGTCCGACTCCGAGTCCAAGTCCCCCAGATTGTTCTCAGAACGAACGTTTTCAAAATGTCCACGTCCATCAGCTGTCCGTCCGCAGCTGCTGAAAGTTGATGGCCCGCGATGAAGACAGCGGACCGGTCAAAACCAACACCCAACTGTGTTTCCAATTAAACGCCGCTTAGCCAAACAACGCGGCCAACAACCCAAACAACGCAAACAACCCAAACGTCAGGCGCAACTTTCAGTTTGCTTTACGGTTAGCCAGCAGCATCCAGCGATTGCACTGAACTTGAATCTTTATGTGGCAGACAGCGCCAAGATCAGATCCCATGGATACCACAGAAACAGATACGGATACAGATCCAGATGCAGATACAGATTCAGATACGAATACTGAAACAGATTCAGCTTGAGATCCAGATCAGCGATAGAAAAAAGTGTGATATACTCGGACAGACTGACTAATTGATGGCCAGCTGATTGATTGATTGATGGACTGGCGATTGATTTATGGGCTTTCGTGGGGGGTTTGAGTTAGATTCCACAGCAAAGTGGAGTCTATAAGACTTGAAATGGTGTTCAAAGGTGTCTAGAGATTTAATTTATGGCTTAAAATAAAAAGATATATTTTTTTTCAAGGAAGTTTATCAAGGAAATATTATAATATTGATTTAAAATATAAATCTAAATATTTAGAATATGAAAACCTCAAAAAACTCTCATTAGTTTTATTTATTCATTTTGATAGAGTTTTTCTTCTTTCCCACCAAAATTGATCTGTTAAAATTTCTCATTAACTGCCTAATCAAGCCTTACTAACGAGTGACCCTAATTACAACAGTAAACTTCTAAAAAAATATTTTCAAAATTAGTTGGCTTTAAACCATTCAAGCCAATGGAAATGTTTTTGCTAGTCTCAATCATATTGCTATTCTGTCAAACCTACAGTGAGTAATCGCCCCCAAAATATATTTTTCCTATAAAAGATACTTTCATCTTTTAAATTCTAAGCCCTGCGCAGCAAATTCACCAATGTCAGTGTAGAGTGTAGCTATGAATTCTGCTCCAGCACACGCGGCTGGCTCACAGCCCGCGGTGAGGTCAGCCTGGACATCCACCTGAATCGCACCTTGAGGAATGGCTTGCGTACAACCATCACCCTGATGCAGCTGGTGCAGACAGGCAGGGATAGTAGCTACCAGAAGACCCTGTTCAGCTACGACATGGACACCTGCAAGACGCTGCGGGAACTGCTCCAGGCTAGCCTGATGAAGGTCTGGCTAAGGAACGTCTTCAAGTATGGGAACCTAGCGGATCGCTGTCCCATCCAGCCAGTGCGTAGACCAACCACATCAATCTCCTCCAAGAGAGTCTGGGTCACAGTTTCCTATATTCTGCAGGCGGACTACGAAGTGCGAAACTTTCAGCTGGAGAACCACAGCATTCCGGCTTATCTGCCGCCTGGCTTCTATCGGCTGCACGACACAAATTACTATGGAAGGCCCAAGGGCAAGCAGCGGCGTCTGGTGGCCACCTTCGTATTGGACATAAAGTTCTATTAAATGGAAATGGAAAATGGAAAAAATTTTACCAATGAAAATGCGAATTCGAAGAAGGGGCTCAAGTGGGTCAATGGAGGCTCAAGTTGCAAGGTTGCACTTGGCTTTGGTTTTTTTCAATCTAAAATTTCTCAAGGAGGCTCAATGACGGGGGATTTTCCAGCGAAATTTGCTGGAAAAAGTTAAGTTATCTCAAGGTCTTTTGGTTTTCCTGCCTCCAACATGGGCAGGGTCTTTAGCTAATTGCATAATAAATTCAGGTGAATTTATGTGGCGACTCCTGTCCCTGCGCTGTCCTTGCTCATTTGCGGTGTCAAAAAGTCGCTCAATCTCAATGATTTACGTTTGCAATGCTCCACATAATATTGTCTTGTCATAATTGTGAATTGTGTGTGTGTGTGCCGTGGGTGTTCCGGTTTGTGGTTTCAATTATCGGGCTACAAAGCTGGGTGGGAAGTACTAGCACTCGAAAATTTATATCAATAAATAAGTGGGGCCTCTAAGGGACTTCCCCGGACAAGTTAAAGCTGTGAAAGTTTAACAAAAAATTTTAGAGACAGAGATTAGTTAAGTTTAAGGGGAGTAAATAAATCTTAAGATGGAATTTCCCTTTTTAAATAAAATGCTGAAATTATGTTTCCAACTAAAACTGAGCTCTGTCAAAATGTAAACTTTCTAGAAATGCCCAGTTAAAGTTATAGAGGTACTTAAATCTTTAGGATTTTTCCTGACATATTTAAGTTAGTCTTTAAAATTAGTATTTATATATTTAAAACAAGAAAGAAAGCTAACTTTGGCCAGCCAAAGTTTGTATACCCTTGCAGGTAACAATTAAAATATATCATAGCTAAGCCAAAAATGCATTAATTTCGATTCGGAAAGCAGTTTTGTGTTAGTTTTTATTATTTTAAAAAAACTGCATACCAAATTTAAAATTTTAAGAAATCAATATTTTTGGCCATTTTTGCTCATTTTAATGATGTAACCCCTTATCAAATTTCGCAAAAATGGCCAAAAAATCGATTTCTTCCGGACATGTCTAGAAAGATTCGCATGTTAATGCTGATCAAGAATATATATGGTTTATGGGGTCGGAAATGATTCCTTGACTTAGAAAAATATTATTTTGTATTATAAAATCTGATTTTTTATATTAAAAAACTTCTTGATTTTTTTTAATTAAAAATATCATAACTCGGCCAAAAGAGCATTAATTTTAAATCGGAAAACTGTTCTGTGCAAGATTTTCTATAGTTAATAAATCTGCATATTTCATTTAAAAATTTTGAAAATTCAATTTTTTATCCAAATCAAAAATTTTAATGATGTTACCCCTAATAAAATTTTGCAAAAATGGCCCAAAAATCGATTTCTTCCGCACATATCTAGAATGATTCGCCTGTTGATGCTGATCAAGAATATATATACTTTATAGGGTCGGAAACGTCTCCTTCACTGCGTTGCAAACTTCTGACTGAAATTATAATACCCTGCAAGGGTATAAAAGATACAACTTTGACAAGAAATATAACAATTTATTTTTACTAAGATTTTGCAAGGTTGCTACTGACACATATAATTTAGTTTATGAAATAGGTAAATATTTTTAAAAACCTAAAAGTTTGACTAGAAATATGACCAGATAAATTTAAGACATCTTATGTAAGGCAATAATAAGATTTAACTAATGTAAGTTCTAGAGAAAATTAGTTTAATAATTATTTTTCGTAAACTAAAGCCACGAAAAATTATTTAACTATATTATTTGTAGAGGTTGGTAATAAGTTATTATTATTTTAAAACAATTTTAAACGTATTGTTAAACATTTAAATAATTAAATTCCTATTAAAAGCATGCAATATAATTAATTTCTCTCTTTCTTAATTAAATTCATAGCTCTTAACTTATTTATTAGTTTATTATTAATTTATTCCCCCTTATTAAGCACTTTCTATTACCTTTTTTTGCAGGTTACCACAGCTTACGGTCTATGCCAAGATTATTTACCTCCTGATGGTGAGTACAAGCCACACTTTTCCCTTTATATTTAATCGAAATAAAGCCCCAGTTGAGCTCATCGAAATTAATCATACGCACTGTTGGCTGGCTTAGTCAGCCAGGAGTCCTTCACTTTGTCTGGCCGTGACTCTGTGGCGGAAGTTCATCACACTCAGTAGGTTCGACCCTGGTAGTGCAACAGTTTTTTTTTTTTTTTTGATAATCGCATTTGAGATATTTGCACCGACGACGGGAAGACAAATATTGAGGCTCGAGTGCCCTTGGTGGCGAGTGTATCGACGCGTGCGCAAATATTCGATAATAATATCAAATGTTGTATCACGGTTATATCATTCACAAACCTGGAGAGCCAAGCCCCGCAGACCCACACCCAGGTTCCAAAACTATGCCAAATATTTTATCAGCCAAAGGGAAATGCCCTGAAAATCATCATCATCATTGATTTGTCTGGCGTTATCAGGCAAATATTTGTTGGGGAGAAAAAAGAAAATAAAAATAATAATAAACGGGAAACTACAATGGAAATGGCGGGTAAATAATTATAAAAATGCCGAACAAGCGAGCGCGCTAATTAAATTATACTGTTTCTCCGATTCTTACACGTTTCTCCCGCTGCCAGCCGCCAGCCAGCCATTATTTTTTACACTTTTAATTTATTTGGCAATCAATTTTGAAGTATGGCCGGAGTCGACATCGATGTCGGATGTTAATGTGCCGAAATAAATAACTGAAATATCTGGCATTCCACTGGGGGACGATGCGACATCCGTTTGCCCCACCTGGACTTTCGCCTGTAACGAGTATAGGTGTTTACCTGTTTGTTCTAAATGAACAACAACATTTTATGCGAATAATTTTGGCATGAGTGGGCCCCCAGTTGATTGAATTGTTTGCTGCTTCGAGTATTTTTTATTGTGCTCATCCAAGCCCTAGGCTTTTGAGAAATCTCGGCCTCTCCGACTGAACCTCTTCATTTACTCGAGTATGCAAATAGTGACCCAGCGCGAGATGTGTGATTATTTTTGGCAATATTCGTTATTCGAAAAATTCCACTTGCACTCAATGAGGATGTGAAGATGAGGGCCAAAGAGAAGTGTTAAAAATGGTGGTTTTTATTTGTTTTAAAAAAATATATTTGTGTTGATCTTTGGGTATAAATTTAGGTGGTATTTAGGGTTTTACAGGTTATGGGTTTGTTTACTATTTTAATTTAATTTAATTTTAAAAATTTAATTTAAATTTAAATTCGAGAAACCCTCTTAAAGGTTACTTTGTTCATCTAAATTATCCCTCAAAGTCTTCCTTCAATTTCCTTATATATTTCTTTGCCAAAACTTTTCACTTTCCCTTAATTTATTTATTTTTGTTCCAATAAAAACTTGACTACTTACTGAATGCGGTTATTAAAATTCAACTTCACAAAACTTAAAAGTTTATAGACATAAACTTTAAATATAAATCAAGATTTGTATGAGCCAAAGTCACCGACTCCTCTGACTCACTGCACTCGCAATACTCCAAAGTGTCCGGGAATCGAAGCCTCCTTTATATCCAAAGCTGGAAGTGAATGGATGGGTCTGGGAATTTAATATATCTAATGCAGGCAGAGTGCCCTGCCAGGGTTAATATATATTTACAGACGACGCAAATCGGCAATGAACGTGTGCCGAGCAAATAAATGAGCAATCAAGGGCCAAATTAGCGGCGCTTTTTATGATGGCTTAGCATTGGGGCTTTTGATAGCGTCGATTTTGATTGGCGCCACGATGTTGAAGTGAGGATAGGTGACTTGCACTACCCAAAAGATATCTATATACCATATATACCTGTAAGCCCAAACGGAAAACTCTAGTATCTTTGACGAAATCAAATCAAAGCGACAGAACATGAAATTCGTAATGTTAAATAAATCTTTTATGGGTATTTCTAGGGAACTTCCAATATAATCTTATCGGAAGATGTCTTAAATGGCGTCTTTGTGAGCCAGAAAAAAAGCGCGGAAGTTTCTCAATGAAATCCAGATAACATGGGATTTATCTGGCACGTATTTGAAGTTAAAATTTCCATTGAGGAGGTAGTTCTTGGGAAGGTATTTTTGAGGTCTTTTTAAGCAAATACCTTAAGTTTTCTTTAGGTTTTTAGATGCGTTTGTGAAGGGAAACTCCCTGAAAATTTGGCTTCAGACTTCTTGTTAGCCCAAGGAAATTATAAAAATAAATATATTAAAAATAATTAAACAGTTTTTGGATAAATAATATAATAAGAAACCTTAATTAGCTTAATATTTCACTTGTTTAAAACAAATGCCTTATATTTGCTGTATTAACCTTAGATTTCTCGGTTTTAATATGAGTCTGTAATAGGAAACCACATGAAATTTACTATTCAGGCTTCTTATAGCCCCAATGAAATTCTAAAAAATATATATAGAATAGTTAAACACTTTCTTAATAAATAAAACAATACGTTTATTTTATTTGCGTAATATTTTATGTTTCCCAGATTTTCTTTAAAAATTTAACTAAAAATTCTTTGGCCAAGAAGTTGCCAAGAGAGGCCTGGTTTATGACACAAATTAATGATAACCACCAACACCATTCTTTGCCAGTTGGGTTTCTGGTTTTATTAGTAAGTTTAAACGTTGTTTTTTGTGGGTGTATTGTTATTGGGTGTTGTTTCGCCTCTCGGTGTGTGTCGTGGCTGCTCCTCCGCTTATCAGGAAATTATTTCAAAACGTTAATTGAATTGTCAATAGATGGGGAAGGCAGAGAACTGCTTTTTTTTTTTTTTTTGGTGGTGTCTGGGTAAGAGCTGCTCTGATAGCGCAGACCTCAAGATATAGAGGCGTATATTATATACTTCTTGGTATTGCCTCTATAAATACCAAGAGCCAAGTGTAGGTAAGTCGGTCTCTAATTGCATTTACCAGATAAGAGAGCTCTCCTCTCCTCTTTGAAAATCCATTGGCAAGGCCGCTCCATAG